GGCTCTGAATTAAATAGTACATACATAATCTTACCTATATACTTTTGAGGATATATTACCAGCTGAGTATCCCTGATCTGAAATGACTGGGACCAAAAGTGTTTCAGAAGTTAAATTTAAAAGAAACTTATATAATGTATAACTTAATAACATGAGGCATTTGGGAATAAGAACCACGTCTAAAACACAAAATTGATTTATGTATAATACACCTATATACACAGACTGAAGTTAATTTTACACATTATTTTGTATTGTAGCATTTTGCCTGCCACCTGGGGGCAGGTGTGGAATTTTCCACTCACAACATCATGACTCATTCACAGTTTCAGATTTTGGAGGGTTTCAGATTTCACATTTTCAAATTAGAGATGCTTAACTTGGATTACTCCCTTTTTCATATCAGGGAACATGTCTGGTAATAAGGAATCTTCCCAAGGCCACACACCTATCAGATAGGAAACCTGACAGCTAAACTCAGTCTTGTGTGAATCTAAAGTCTACTTTTCTCTTTAATGCCCACCTATGACTTGATTTCATCAAAAGAAAAGTTTATCCATTTAAAGCTATCTTTCATGCCAACAAAAAACAAAACTTCAGATCAGGGGTGGTGTCACTGCAGTAAAGTAACTCCAAGATGCTGAAGCCACAAGGGCAGGTCCTTGGCTTCTGTCCCAAACTCTTTCTGCACAGGCCAGGCTGAGTTCATGACTGTAGCTGACTGTGGCTGGGGGGCAACTGCAGCCTGAAGACACCGTTGGAGGACTGTCTGTCTGTTTCTCTCTCTCATTCTCTGAATAAATAAACAAATCTTTATAGAAATAATAAATAGGTCAGCAGGTGGTGTGGTGGTGAAGGCACCAGATCCCACATAGCCAGCTCCATGTTTTGGGTCCTGGACACGATGACTTGAAAAACATATCATGCACGTGTGCGTGCATGTCCAAAATCCCAAGAGGAGAATGGCGAAGTGATGCCAGTGTGGTCATCACCCAGGGGGTAGTTTCTCACTTTTCTTCTGTCTCTGTCTCTCTCCAACAACTGTACACACCCTATGGCTAAACATCTACAAAAAAGAAAGAAGAAAGAAAAAAAGAAGAGAGAAAGAAGAACATCAAAATATGCTAGAAAGGAAAAAGTAATGAATCCACAGAATCTGGTCATGACACTTACCAGTCACTTAGGGATAACCTAACATCAAAATTCTTCAAAGAAGGCAATTTAAAACAAAGAGTCACCCAAAAGACAGAATGATTTTCAATACATCTAGGTAAAATATAGCATTTTAAAAGAAAAAGTATGTAAAGACAGGTTTAAAAATACTGTAAAAAAGTTAAGAATATTGAATCACACAATAAATAAACTTAAGTCCACACTTCACAGAACTATAAGAACTTTAAAATGAAGTCCCTTTAGTTAACATATCACATGACAAAAAGTCAGATAAGGGACCAGCAGTTAGTGTAATTGCTATGTCGCTGGACTTCCATGTAGTCAACCATGGTTTGCTTCCCGGACCCAGTGGCTTAAAACTCACACTAGGCGCATATGTGTGCATGCCCAAGATCCCAAGAGGAGAATGGAGGAGAAGGGATTGTGGCATGGCCATCCCCCCTGGAGGGTTATTTCTTGCTTTCTGTCTCTCAGTCTCTCTCTGTCTGGTGAGTGCACGCACTCTACAGCAAAAACCTCTCAAAAAAAAAATCAGATTACAAATAACAAACACCAATTAATATAATGAGGGATTTTGAATCCTGCTATACAACAGTTCCTTAGTTTGCCCAGTACAAATGATTGCTATTCTTTTATTTTTTTCAGCAGACAGGGGATGTGTGCTCATGAGAGAGAGACAGAGAGAGAGAGAGACAGAGAGAGAGAGACTATTCCCCAGTGGGGTGTGTTCATGCCACAATCCCTGTTCTCTTTTGGGATTTGGGGCACACACATGTTCAGTATGTCTTTCAAGTCCCTAGAAACAGGATTCTAACTGTGGAGTCAGCCACGTGGCCTTCAGTTCCCATAATCACTTGGGTACAGGGCTAGCCCACTGTGGGCTTTCTGTTTATTTACTGTTTCCATTGCTGTGCAGAAGATTTGTAGCTTGATGTAATGCCATTTATCTATTTTTGGTGTTGTTGCCTTTACGTTAAGGGTCTCATTCAAGAAATATTTGCCTACGCCAATATTTTTTTTCAAGAAATTTTATAGTTTGGGGCTTTAATCCATTTAAGCCTTTAATCCATTTCAGTTTTTTTCAGGCTTGCTATTGAGCCCATGCCCTCACTGAAAATCAGAAAGAGAAAGACAGAGACAGAGAGAAATTACCTCCTGGTGAATGGCCACATCACAAACTCTTCTCTATGTTCCTCTTGGAATTTTGAGCATGCACACATACATAACCAGCATGATTTTCAAGCCACTGGCTTTGTGGTTTGAACAGACAGTTGGCCATGTGGGATCCAGCTGCCCTGAATTCCCTGCTACTCACTGGCCCTCAAGTTTATTTTGTAAACAATGAAAGATGGGGATCTGGTTTTATTTTCAAAATCTGTCTCTCTCTGGCAAGCACACATGCTCTATGACAAAAACTTAAAAAAAATAAAAAACAAAAACAAATAAACAAACAAGAACGGCAGTACTATACTTTTTCCAGTTATCAACAGCATGTATGTTTGCTCCTTTTCTTATTAAAAATTCAATCATCTGCTGCTTGTTCCTATCCACAGCAAGCAATAATGGGGTTAAGTGCTCCTGTAAAACAGTAAAAACAAGTTATAATTCACAAAGTGACATAACTTTTCTCAATTGAAAACTTACTTAAAAAGATCTGATTGGGGCCAGCAGGTGGCATGCAGATCAAGGTGTCAGATCCACATAAGTATTGTGTGTGTGGAGAAGTGGGATCTAAGGAAGGATATTTGGAGGAGGGATACAGAGGCAGAGCGTTGACAGGATGGGGAGGTGTGGTGTTATGGGTTGAAGATATTTTGATCAACTGGACTGGGGAGAAATGTTCACATATTGAAATGTTCACTTTGTAAGCTAAATAATGTGATTGAATGTATATAAAAAATTAAAATAAAAAAATTTTAAAACTAAAAAGTAGTCCCTTCTTCTCAGTCCTCTTTGAAACACCCCTCCTCTGTCTTACCACATGAACTCGTCACCTCCAGATCTCACTTCAAACATTCACCAGTTCCAAAAATCTTTGCTCCTATTTACAGCATTTATCATGGTACACTGCAGTCCCTGAATTGCTCCCTAAACCAAGACCTTCTGTAGGGCGGGATCTTTTAGACCCACTATTTAAATGGCAGACCCTGCCAATTCCCTCCTTTCCCACTTAATCAGACCCCATTTACCACCAATCTGGTTTCCTCGAAATTCTCTAAACTTGATCTCCAGACAGGTTACAATTCACTCACTCTTTTTTCCATGTTGAGTATTACTCTTCCTAAAATGGAAAAGCTCTTTGTCTAAATATTTTACCTGGGGAAAACACACACACACACACACACACACACACACACACACACAAATAAATAAACCAATTGAAAATGAACTCTTTATGGCATTTCTCCTCTACTATCTAATTTCAAAATTAACCTGAATATTTCTGTTTTCTCATTTCCCTTTTCATTTTTCCTCTTAAACTTTGCCACTGAGAGTTACATCACTTTTAGACTGTTTGCTGTTTTAAGAAATTTGTCAATAGTGTAATGATTTTCATTCATTGTAAAATGGTTTTGCTTTGTCTGAGTTTTAGGAGAAGGCCTACTTTAAAGGCCAATTTCACTTTTCAATATTATTTTATACTAATAATGTAAAAAATTAGGTAGAAAAATATTTGAATAAACATGTTTGCCCTTAATTAATATGGTGTTTTACAAACATTTGCCATAAATGCATTTTTAAAAGCCATATCCTGGAGCCAGCAGGTGGTGTGGTGATTAAGGTGCTGGACTCTCACATGGATGATGTGGCTCAAGTCCCAAACCCAGTGGGTTGCTTTCTTACTTTCCCTCTCTTCCTCTGCCTCTCTCTATTGAGTGCCCTATAGAAAATTAAATAATAATAGATAAATAAATTATTTTAAAAACAAACAACCTAAAAATAAAAAAAAAAAACTGTATCCTATAATATTTCTTTAAAAATATCTGGGCCAGTAGGTGGCACAGTAGTTAAGGTGCTGGACTGCCATGCGGTCCACTGCAATTTGACTCCCAGACTTGAAACTCACTCTGGGTGTGTGTGAGTGTGTGCCAAAAATCCCGAGAGGAGAATAGGAGAGAAGGGATTGTGGCATGACCATCTCCATGATTTCTGTCTCTCTCTCTCCAGCAAGTGCAGGCACCATATAGCAAAAAGGTCTCAAATAAATAAACAAATAAATAAGCGTATCAATATTTAGGGCCAGCAGGTGGTGTGGTGGCTCTATATATTATGGCTCTGGATTTCACATGGCCAACTTCAGGGCTGAAGTTCTGGATGTAGTCACTTGCAAAACACATTGGGTGATTTCACATGGCCAACTTCAGGGTTGAAGTTCTTTACATAGTCGCTTGCAAAACACATTGGGTGCCTGTGTGTGTGTTTTCAAAATCTTTGGGAAAAATGGAAGAACAGGGATTGCAGCTTGATCATTCCCCTGGAGAGCGATTTTTCATTATTCCTCTCTGTCTGTCTGTCTTTCTCTCTGGTGACTGCACAAGTCCTAAGACAAGAAAATAATCAATATTTAACTTGAAATCTTATGCAGTTATGTTATTTCAAAACCTTTTCATTCAGGGAATGCTTAAGCTTTCAAATGTAGAAAACTGACCCAACATACGTCATCTTTTAAACAACTACCTCTCATATTTAGAAAATACGTTTTGATGCATACCTTGTTTATGGCTTCTATACGAGCATTGTGGAAAAGTAGTTTTTCTGCTATTGATACATTGTTATCATAAACAGCATAATGAAGAGCAGTGTTGCCACTGTAATCAGCAACATTTGGATTGGCTCCATGCTCTAGAAGAATGCTCACACACTCTTCATTCCGGCACTGGATAGCCTATAAGTATCATACCAAGAAATAAATTGTAAGTCCTAAGAATTCAAAATAAGCATTCTACAAGTTTCACCAGTTAGTTGTAGTTAAATGAGATGAATTAATTTTTAAGTACTTAAATCAAAGCCATCTCATGCTGAAACAGTTCTCTACTATATACCTTTACTAGGGCTGTCTTGTGATAACCATCCAGAAGATCTAGCTGGCATTTTCTGTCTACCAAAAGAGTCACCACTTCTGGATGGTCACTGGCACAGGCCAAATGTAGAGCAGTTCTACAAAAGAACAAACACATTTCAGGAAATTTTAGTGCACTGTTTCAAAACATACCATTATGTATGGAACTGTAAACATTAACTAGCATGTTATTCCTGTGCCTTCAGACAAGTATTTAATTTCATCTGAACAAAGTACAATATTTACTAACTCATATTACTCACAACATGAATGAAATCATAGCCTATGTGTACAGAAAAAGCATGCCCTTTGGATTCAGCTTAACTGGGTTGGAATTTTATCTAGCTACCCATCAATCCATTCATTCATTCATGCCAGCAGATGATGTGGTGGTTAAGGCATTGGACTCCCCATGACCGACCGTGGTTCAAGTCATGGATATAGAGGCTTGAAACTCATACCAACATGAGAGCATGTGTGCCCAAATCCCAGGAGAACAGGGGAGAGGGACCTGCAGTGCATGAGGGGTGATTTCTCATCTTCCCTCTCACTGTTTCTCTCTCTCTGCTGAGTGGACACGTCCTATGGCAAAAACCTTAACAGTAGCAATGACAAAACAGAAACCCCCAACATGGTTTTTATGCCTCAAGCACCCCTGTCACCCTAGACTCGGTATGAACAGATCACAAGTACATGTAATCAACATGCTCTGGCGGGTCCCAGGGTACAAAACCAGGACCTTCCCCATGGGAGTCCTCTTGTGCTGCTACTGCTCCACCACCTGGCCCTGAGTCCTACTGTAGGCTCTCATTTACTGGCTATCACTTATCCCTTCTGTGCTTCAATTTTTTGTTACCAATACAGTAGAGATAAGAAATAGTAGTTATGTCAAAGGACATCAATAGAATTCTTAATGAGAATATATGGGAAGTATTTAGTATCTAGTCCCAATAATGACTCAAAAGTATTGGATGTTGCAAGTAATACAGTTACTGCTAGTTAACAAAGACCACAGTTTAAAAAGTTGCCAGAGAGGCATGCATTCAACAGAGACAGAGAGATGGTAGGGAGCAGCCTCATACAGAGTATGGTCGTGCCACAATCCCTTCTCTTGCGTTCTTCCTCAGGGATTTGGGACACACACACACACACCCAGCATGTTCCTCAGGCTATGGGGTCCAGGACTCAGATTATGTAGTCAGCCATATGGGATCCAGCTGCCTTAACCACCCTGCCACCAGCTGGCCCAAAGATGACTTTTTAATTAAGGAAAATGATACAATTATATCAACTTTACAGCAATGTTTTTATAGAGATAATCATATACATTTGAATGATTCTAAGATGCTCATTGTCTCACAGTTCAACATCTATGACATTGAAATTCTACTAAGAGTCCATGAACTATTACGACAATAATTGGCAGCATTTTAAAAATTATTGATGCACAAAGTAATTGGGACAATCTATGATGCCTTAAGATTACAGATGATATATACAACTCTATGGCAGTTCTAATTTTATTACTGGCACTTAATGAATTTAGTTCTTTAAAGTAGTATGAGGGAAGAGGGCTCCACTAAAAATATAGCATAAAGAAATGCCCCCCAACACACACACACACACACACACACACACACACACACACACACACACAGTGATTTCACAATCCCTTTTCCTCCATTTCTCCATCTTAGAGGACTTTGGGAAATCCCTCCCCCCAACCCTCCCCCCAACACCCCCACCTGGTATGTTTTTCAAATCACAATGGTGAAGATTCTAATGGCTCACTTAGCCATGTGGGATTGGCTCCCTTAACCCCTAAGACACTACAAATGGATTGTTCTCTCATTTTAGCTACTGAAAGTACATCTTTCATGGCAACATACGTCTCTATCAATGCCACCTTCAATGGGCATACAACATTCCACCCTATGGATGCACTGCACTTTATTCATAATGCATTATATGGGGTCTTAATACATTTCTACTGAAAAGTCTTAAGCAGCTTAAACTTTAGGCCAGTGCTCTTTACCTTCAAAGTTTGTGGATGAAAAAAATATTTCATTCCTCTTTAACCTTAATTCCATTTCTTACCAGAGCCATTAAATATTTTTCCTATGTCTGTAGGTCCCTTGCAGATCTACAAAAAAGAACTTTGCCCAAATCCAAATTGGACATTTTCTTTGTTTGAAAGAATTCTCTATAAAGCAGAGATGCAATTTTTCACCTGAGATGTACATATTGTTAATATTTTGAAAATATGTTGTCTTTTATTTTTATTATTTTTTGAGAGTAAGGGTTTTTTTTTGTTTGTTTGTTTGTTTGTTTTTTTGTTTTTTTTTTTTTTGCTATAGGGCACATGCGCTCACTGAAAGACAGAGAGAGAGTTTAAGCCACGGGGTTTGGGATTCAAACGGTGGTCAACTACATGTGAGTCCAGCAACATAGCCATTACACTAACTGCTGGTCCCTATTTTTATTATTTGGTTTCCCTTACACAGAGTTTTTTTTTATTCAATATTTCTGTGCCTCAATATTCTCACCAGTAAGAGAGATAAATACAATAGTTATCTCACAGGACAGCATTATGATGCTTAAATGACAATGTATGTATTTGCAATTTGTATTTTGCTAAAATTAACCTTCAGAGTGATTGCTCTGAGATCCTTCTTAGGAAATGTATAAATTGGAATTTTTGTTTTTTTCTCATACTTTTATTATCATATATTTAAATTTTCTTAATCTATACTCCATCAGTAACTTATTTTTAAAACTTAACACCTTATAGCTAGTTTTCTCCAAATAGTTAACAGGCACTTCACTTATGATTAATTCAACTTTTTGTAATGAATACGAAGTGTTCCCAGTATGAGATACTAAATTATTACATATATATGGGTGTTTATGGTTTCCTATCAAGTTCCATTCATTTACCTGTCTTTTCAGCTGTTAATCAACAATATTTTGAGGGAATTAACAACACATTTTGACACGTAGAAAGGCAAATCTTTGTTTACCACATTACAAAAAATTTCTTAGCATAATTACAATGGTGGTGACTCAAACATTAAAGAGTTTGATATTTTTATTTGGTTAATGAAAAATTGAGAAACAAAAAAAGAGCTCACATTTAGAGAAAATTGAGTCTATCTGAGCACAAAGAATCATCGTCCCACTTGAAACTTTCTAAGGACCCTTGGCAAGGAACACATACACATAGGGACATAAAATGGATATTGGACTTAATTCAAAAAATTTTTACCCCATAACTGACATAATAACGATGGTGAGAATTTTTCTCATTACTCACTTTTTTACATTTTTTGTAATGTTATTGTTTTTAAAATGAGCACATTAAAAATAAAACATGTACTGGCCAGCCAGTGGCAGTGACTAAGGCAGTTGAATCCTACATGGTGGACCTGGCAGTTTGCTTCTCCACCCAGTAGCTTGAAAAACACCTCAGGGAAGGTACCAGCAGTTAACATAAAGGTTATGTTGCTGAACTCCCATGTAGTTGACAGCCGTTAGAGCTCTGGATCCTGGACCCGGTGGCTTAAACTCAAGCCGGGCGTGTGTGCATGTGTGCCCAAGATCCTGAGAGGAGAATCGAGGAGAAGGGACTACAGCATGGCCATTCCCCCCCGGGGGGTGATTTCTCACTTTCTGTCTCTCTGTCTCTCTCTGTCTTTCTGATGAGCACACATGCCCTATAGCAAAAACTTCTACAAAAACAAAACAAAACAAAACATCTCAGGCATGTGTCCGTGTGTCCCACTGTGTTCAAGATCCTCAGAGGAGAATGGAAAGAGGACTGTGCATGGCCATCCCCCCAGGGAATGATTCCTCACTTTCTCCCTCTCTCTCACACACTTTCTCTAGGTCTCTCTCTCCTTGACTACATACACCTCATAGCAAAAACTAAAACTAAACAAAAAGGAAAAGCGTATTATTTCATTTTGCTAGTTAGGTCACTCTGTAATCGTGAAGAAAGTGTTCAGTAGGAGTAATTAGGAGCAGATTTGAAACCAGCTGAAGCTTGGTTTTGTTCTGTCACTCATCAAGGGGACCTAGGCATGGGGCCCCCAAGGCTTGGTGCCAGGTGAAGCAAAGGAGCACCCTGGGTGCCAACCTAGCTGACAGGTGCGTGCCCAGGTAGCCCTCAGGCCCGCCCTTGGGCCCTATTACCTTTCATATTTGTCTCTCTCATTTAAATTATTTGTACGTAGTAACAGGATGCGCTGCACTTCGGCTACGTTGCCTGTGAGTGCAGCTTTGTGAATTTTCCTTAGATCTTTATGTCTGACGTAGTACTCGGAGAGAGGGTTGATGTTCCTCTTCGGCTTCGGGTTTCTGCCAATGGCATTGATGTCTATTGCCTGGACCCTGTTGCTCCTGAAGCAAAAAATTCTTCTCATCTGGAGGTATGGCTTGAGGGATGCCTCACCTCCCTTAGGCCAGCTCCGAAATTCAATCACTAAAAACTACACGATCACTAACAACTTAACCAGAACCCAACACTGAGGACCGCAACAGAGCAGAGCTCATGCACTCCTCTGAGGGCGAGGGTGCTGGGCATGCTCACAGAGGCAGGGGGCGGGGCGTGAGC